CAAAGTGTCAGATTTAAAATTTTGTCATTTTGTAAGAAATTCAAATAATAAATACCGTTTTGTGGCTCTTTAATGTGTCGTGACAGATCGCCTCAGTTCAAGCGGCACATGAACTTTGTAACGATGCACCGCGAGCCGGCTAAAGATCAATATAAATATGTGACGATTCAAATCGGTTGAGATATTAAACGAATCGCGATACAGTTGGGGGTAGGACTTTATATGAATGTATCTCTGAGGGGAACTGACTGTCTTTAGAAAAGTTTAGATGGTATTTTCTTTTCATCTTGCCTCTGTATAATGCATATTAAAGTAGTGTTCATAAGCGCTGCTTTGTTTACAGAGGTAACCAAGGAAACTCTGTATCGCTGCTGTTCCATGAGCGCCTCCTCCTATCAGAGAGTGAATCTGAGTCTCATTCAGCCCATCTGCTGTTTTTGTCTCGTTCAAATGGTTTAGACATTTTTCAAAAAATATATATTTATCTCACCTAAATATTTGATCATGCACTGGATTTTTGTTTTGACAACCATGAAATTGTTACACAATAGCTTACACACAGCACAAGCCTGATTTTGTGAGCTGTATGTTAAGCGGCCTTTTACACCAGGTTCACACATACTCCGTTTGCAGTGCAGTCCATGCATGGTACATAAGCGGTGCAGAAGCAGCACGGACTGTGCTTTCACACACACATTTATCCATTATTTTGATTTCAAATCCAAACATTGTTACTTAAAATGCTTTTTTCATCATTGTGATATTTTTTTTTACACAGTGCAGTAATACAATCTTTCATAGACGTCTTTAAATGCAATAAATATAAGAAACTCATTATTCAATGCTTTTTACTTTTGTATTTAGGCCTACTTCTAGATTGATATATTAAGTTGCTCAAGCAAGTGGCAAAACATTTAAACTACTTTTCTTATATTATCACACAAATCCAAAATAAAACTTACCATTGACAGAAACAGTCAGCTCTACTGCCTTTTCTTTTGCATTTAATTCTTTATTAAAAGCAATACTGCGTTTCATAAAGAACTTTGTTTTACTACCTCCACGAGTGCCATCTATTATTGCCTTGTTTATCTAAAAGTGCTCTTTTCCTTTAAACCTAGCCAAAAAGCCATAGCCTATGTGTTGACTGTGAAACACAGCAGACTTTAATTATAAGCATTTATGGTGTAATTACTACATTTTCGTATCAATCCATGCTCATATTTACCGCAAACAATGCGCTGTTACTTTAATTCAGCGCTTGCAGCACAGCAAAAATAGACTCAGTGCAGAAACAATCTCTGCACTGCAGCAGACGCACCGCTGGTGGAACACACTGCCGGACCGCAACCGTGTGCAGTGTGAACGCTTTAAACCGTTAACATGAGCGCGGAAAAATACGCAATGCAAACGAAGTAATGTGAACCTGGCGTTACGTGTGTGCGCTGCGAGTGTGCATGAGCGCTCAGTCTCCAGGAGAGC